AATAAGCAACTACTAATTTTGGAGTTCGCCTCCTTTTCTGTGGTACTAAACGATAATTTCAAATTAGGTGCACATCAGTTCATAGTTTCATCTACTTTCCAGAAATTAATCCATAATTTTCACAGGTTTCATATAAATTCAATAAAATAGTGATGCAGTTATCAATTAAAAAAGGAAGTTAAAAATTTAGACGTTCAGTTAGTGTTAAATCACATGCGTCAGGAATTTTTTCCTAAGTTCATTGTTTATGAAATTTTGTTTCTTCTTTAACGTGAATTTTTTGTTTAGATTAGGAATCAGTTATTATTAGTAAGGTTTAATAGTGGAAAATGTAGTGAAAATATTTGAATGTGTGGAAATTTACTCACATGCATGAAACCGAAGTTTTCCAATTCTTCCTCTTTCGAACGGAAAAAATAAAACAAAATACTACTGAGCCTGATCATTTCACGAATACCGTTCGTAGTGTAACACTTTGGATCATCACACCCAAGCATTGGAGATTTTGAGGGTACAGACATTGAAATGAAAACAAAAAACTCTTCTTGCTCAAAAAACAAGCAAAATTATAGTTTTTGCCGTCAGATACAGTGCATGCACAGATATAACGCACAGTCTAGTGTTGAGTTGAGATATAAACAAGGAAAAGAGAGTTAATTCACCTGAAATCTCTCATTCTTGAAGGCTTTTGAGCAGGTAATAACATTACTCAAGACGTTTTGAAGTTTATCCCAAAAGATCAACATTTGTGCGACTTAGCTGAACAAAGACTCATAAAAGGTGAACTTGTGCATCTTCGAAAATTAAATTAAAAATAATGTGAAATTTAAAGTCTATGTTCTAAAATTAATCAATTAAGTTTAAACAAAACCGTGAAACTCAAAACAAATTTCAGAGACCGACTCTCACTTTAAAGTTAAAAATGAATTTAAAAAATGAGAGGATTTTGTGTGATAAAAAGTCAAAGTTTGAATAATTCTACAATTCAGGCGTTTCTTGTTTCGTAGATTTTCCTTCCTCAAAATTGATTTTGACGGAACTGAGGTAAAACACTTGACACAGACGAATTCCACGAACTCACAAGCTCAAAAACGCGAACCTCGAAACTATTTTTAAAAGGCAATTCAACGATATACACAAAACATCAATATTGCAGACTAAAAAGAGAGGCGGATAATACACTTTAGAGCTTGCTCTAAGTCACGAAAAACTAGGAGTTCAGAGTCAAAAATCGTTGGATCACAGAAAAACTCCGAGAACGACTTCTGCAACTTAAGCTCCCAATCTTCAAAGACACACTGAGAGAGATGAGACACTGCTTGCACAGGGCCGGGGACATTCATCACTCATGCAAAATGTTTTGACTATTTTTAAAATATGTGTCATTCCTCATCTTTCAAGACATTGCCAGACCCCACAACTCCGCTGTCTGGTTGCAACATTGGGCAGCAATTTAAACAGTTTCTAAAAATTTAAATGAAGTTTGGACAAGGCTCTTTTTTGGCCGCTCATTCCTTTGAGAGAGGTGAATAATTAAACAATCCTTCCAATTTAAAACCATCGTTGCCAAAAAGACAAACAAAAGGTATTAATATTATCAAACTTCTGTACACTTGAAATTTTGAAAACTCCTTTAAAACTGTGTTTAAAAAAAATATTTCCGTGTTGTTTACTGGTTTTTGAAAGGAAGAAATCCATTAATAGCAGTATGACGGGTTGTCATTTTCAAATGAAACAGATTAACAACATCACAAATGGCTACACCTAAACTCTTTAATGTTGCTAATGCAATTTTTTACCTATTTTTATCAAATTTTGTCGTGAAACTGCCAAACTGAATCCACTTTACCAATGCTCATCAATTAAAAATTAATTAAAGATTTGCTGGTCACTTAATGTACTTTAATTTTTAAAAATAATTAATAAATAATGTAAAATAAAATAAAGTAAAACTGTGTGAACTTTCACTTTCTGTATATTTAAAACCCGTATTAGTTTAGCTACTATATTTTGCCTTGTGTTGGTTCTGTATCTTTACTTTAAATTGATTTATTATTAATGTGTATGTATGAGCCGCTTTTACGGCGCGCTAGGGCGCTCTGCGACGCCTATTCTCCACAGGAATCTGTCATGGTAGAGATCCTCCGGAAGGTGGCATCTCTCCATCTCTTCATGGATGCCCTCTACCCACCGTTTGGCTGGACGCCCTCTCCGTCGCCTACCTGGGGGGACCCACTCCAACACCTTCTTCAGCAACCTGGTATCAGCCATTCTCTGCACATGCCCATACCATACCAATTGCTTGGTCATGATATCGTGCACAATCGTCCCCTCAACGCCCATTATCTCTCGGACACGTTCATTTCTGACACGTTCTCTCCTCGAGATTCCAGCCGATCTTCGCCAGAAATCCATCTCGGTCGCCTTGAGCATTTCTTGGGTCCGCTTCTTCAACTGCCACACTTCACTGCCATAGGTGATAATAGGCTTGACAACCGAGTTATAAATCCTCTTCTTGTTGTCTTTGGAAATCCTTTGGTCCCAAAGGATCCCATTAAGCATGGCGATGGCTTTCCTTCCTAGAAGATTACGGTCCCGAATGGCCTGATCCAGCTTCCCATCCGAAGTCAGGTTCACCCCCAGGTACTTGTATTGTTCGCAACTTTCTATATGTTGACCATCCTCCAGGACTATGCTTTGCTGAGCACCTCCGACTGACATCTTTTTTGTCTTACGGACACTAACCTCGAGGCCCCATTTGCGGTACTCCTCCACCAACTTCCGGGTCATATACTCCGCGTCATCGTGATCTTGACTTATGACTACCTGGTCGTCAGCAAAGCATAGCGTGAACAGTGTTTCTTGGTCATTTAGAGGGACGCCCATGCCGGCACACTTTCTTTTCCATTCCTTCAGAACGTGCTCTAGATATATCTTAAACAGCGTCGGTGACAGACAACATCCCTGCTTAAGCCCCTTGGTGACAAAAAAACCGTCTGAAAGCCTTCCTTGGCACTTCATTCTAGCAAAAGCCCCCCGATAAAACTGCTTGACTGCCCCAATAAGTCCTTTACTAAAACCAGTTTCTCCTAGGACTTCCCAGAGTTTCACAAGAGGAATACTATCATAAGCCTTTTCAATATCCAAAAACACTAAATGAAGCTCCTGGCCAACAATTCTCTTCTTTTCGGTTAACTGGGTAACACAGAACAGATGATCAGCGGTAGACCGACCAGCCCTAAAACCTGCTTGCTCCTCCGCCTCGAACGGGGTCCACTCCTCTTCGATCTTCGCTTTCAACACTTTTCCATAAATTTTACTTATCGTTCCTGTCACCGCTAACCCTCTGTAGTTCCCACAGTCATCCTTCCTTCCTTTTTTATGCGACGCTGTTATCCAGGCCTCTTTCCATTCTTTCGGGATGTCATCACCGTCAATGCACTTCTGCAGCAAATCCCTGAGATGGTTAACCAACTTGCCAGTCCCACATTTAATTAACTCGGCTGGAATGTTTCCTGGCCCAGGAGCTCTTCCATTCATCAATTCCCTGATTGCTTTGACCACCTCCTCAACTCGAATTTCCATTGAGTGATCCTCGACTATATTTTCAGCATTCCCCGTTTGAAACTCTGGTCGTCCTTCCGTCAATAATTTATTAAAATGTTCGTCAAGCTGTGAGATTGTTATCGGAGATATAATGTCCCGTTTCATGTCCCTTCTTAGGCCTTTGATCAGCTTCCAGCTCTCAGCACTCTTCCTTCCCCCCAGGTATGTGTCAATCCTTGAGCAGTTGGTCTCCCAAGACTCGTTTTTCTTCCTGGTGATTAAAAGACGAACCCTCGCCTGGGCTTTCCTATACGCGCCGCGGGTGTCTGCAGTCCTAGAAGCCAGATAGTCATGGTACTTCCTACGCTTTTCTTCAATTACCTCCTCTACCTCTTTGTCCCACCAGTAGGGTTTCTGTACATCCTTGCTCTCATTACACATACCCAGGGCTTCCTTCGCAGCTGAATGTATGCAACTTTTGATGAACTGGTACAACTCTTCTGCAGTATCAAAAGTTTCTACTCCCAGTTTCTCATCCAGCCGCTTCCTGTAGAGCGCTTTCACGCTTTCATGCTGTAAGCTATCGATGTTGTAGTGCACTTGTTCGATCTTCGTTCCTTGTGGCTGGCACTTCTGATGTTGCAAGGTATTCCTCTGCAGCCCATACTTAACCGGAAATGCAATCTCCGCCTTGAGAAAATGGTGATCACTACCACAGGAGAACCCCCGGCAAACTCTTACTTGTTGAACCTTCATGGTACTCGTCTGCCTGGTGACCGCGTAGTCGATGATTGACTTCAGCCCCCGAGTTTGCTGAACCCACGTGTACTTATGGATATCTCGATGTTGGTAGAATCCGTTCAGTATTTTCAACTCGTTTTGTTCACACATATCAATGATGCGTGCACCGTTGTCATTCATCGCCTCTTCACCGAAAGGTCCAACAACTTTAGAACCATTCCTTCGTCCGGTTCTACCATTCAAATCTCCCATGATAATGACCTCCCTTGTCCTTCCAACCCTCAGAACCTCGTCGTTGAGTTGCTCAAAGAACTGATCCTTTAGATTGATGGGAGCATCATCATTCACACCATATACTCCTAACAGGGCCACCTTGTGACCATGCAGTGTAAGATGCATTCTGATGATCCGCTGGTCTACTGCTTCCCAAGTAGTTATAGACGGACGCAAACTATTATTATAGATTTTTATTAGAGATTTATTATTAATACTAACGATTAATATAAACGCTTGTTTTAGGTAAATTATAGGGGGGGGGGGGGTGTCTATATTCTACTATGGAATGGCTTTGAGAGGAATCCCACACATCAGTATAACGCAGGTTTTTGTCAGAATCATTGTAGAAAGAATAAAACCAAAATTAGTTACTTCTTGCCACAAATCAAATAAATAGAATACACAATTCAACGTGCAATATTGTCAGTAAATCTTACCTTGTCAGAGTCAGTAGTGTTGCCCGACCCAAAAGAAGTCAAGGAACCCCGATCTAAGTTTTCTTGACTTTCATCTAGTGATGTTGTTTCTTCGAGATCTCTGTAAAATAAATTGGAGAAACAAAAACTTGAGTCATCACAAGTTTTTAAAAATTACACCATAGTAGCACATCTTCTTGCATGTTGTCATCTCTCGCACAAAAGAACATACCTTTATTACGCTTTTCTAGCATTTCTTACTGAAATTTTATTTGTTTATAGGATAGCCATGGCATGAATTTGCCTAAAATATTCAGTGGTTTTTTTTACACATGTAAGAAAAGACACTAGAATTTTCCAGCAAATTTGTTCGATTGTCCTTGATTGTTCAAGAAAATTGTATTTATACAATTATTTTAGAAATATTTTAACTGCATAGAAGAGATACCTTCCTACGAGTGGGAGATGACAATGTATTCAGTGTAAATATAATTTTTTTCTGATAACTGGTTCTCATGTACGCTACACTACCTACATTATACTAAGAGACTGTAAAGATATTATTTTAGTAGCTTTTTATTCTATATAAAGTCATTTCGGTGCAGTTTTTTGATAAAAGGGTTTTTCAGTAAAAGGGAAGAAAACAAGCGAACAAAAAATTTTCTGGTTGTCTTCTCCTTGCGCTGCAGATTGTCGTTAAAGTTGCATTTGGATGTGTAATACAGGATATTTTTAAATTGTTAAGATGTTCAGTATTTTTCAATGATGAGCCATTTTAGTTACTTGGAATACAAATTGCGGCCGTGACTTACCTGCTGGCACGATGGTTGTTCGATTTGTGTTTAGCAGGACTTTTAGGCATACTAAGATGAAGGGCTGAAGAGAAGTATGTTTCTTGTATGACCTCTCTTAGCTTTTTGACCCAAATTTGTTTATTTTCTAGTGATGATGCCTGAAAAGTTCAAAAAAGTTTATTAAAGAACACACTCTAAGTATACATAAACTTTAAAAGCTATTTCAGACAAAAAAGTATTGTATCTTAGGCTTTAAGTTTAGTTTAGAAACCACCAGAGAGAAAAAAAGACTCAATGATAAGTAAAAGGTAATATCAGCCGAAATCTTATGATTTCGGTCTAAACATACTGAAGAACAATTGTCCTTCTTCTCCGAAATCGGAATTTTCTGGTGTAAATAACTAATCATCTAAACTGTCACTCTCCCATAGCAAAGAAATGTAACTTAGCAGATATATTCTTCTAATCTTTCGGTTGATATTTTACTGTGCGCTTCATTTTGCCAATGTTGATAGGAGACTTGATAAGTGAGTATATTTCTGCTGAAAGACGGAATTAAAGGTATGTCATTCATCCTAACTTACTTTTAATACAATTTTGTAGTCTGATATTGGAGCCCGACCAGTCCAAACAGCGAATTTGCACTCATCTCCTTCGATATGTTCTGTCACACCCAGCTCAGATGTCTAAAATAGATAAACAAGATGCATACAAGGGATTAGATTTTGTTTACAATGATGAACACTAGTTCAATGATTCAATAATAAAAACTGACGGGTAACAACTGAATTTCTAATTGGAATAGAACAAATAATTAGAATTAGAACTAGTGATCTTAGAATTTTTCGAGAATCAAGGGTAAAAAAAAGATAACTCCAACTCATATATCGATAGTGAAACTTTAAAATTGTGTACCTAGGTCTGCAGCATTGCAGAATTCCTGTTATACTTTATTTTCTGCACGGAAAACAACTAAACGTCTTTTTCTTGTAACATTAATGATTTTTTTTCTCTGTGTACAGAACATTGTGTGAAATATTAAGCCATGATGTTGGTTTGGTCTTCTTATGAAAATAAAATAAGAGCAAAAATTTTGAAACAACACAACTAAAATACGCATTTTTGCAGTTCCACCGTTAATATGGTTTATCATTGGTTTTAGCTTCCACTCTTTAACAAGTGAACTGCCAGAAAATCGTGCTTCATAATTGACTTCAGGATGTGTCTTCTCATTTAAATTTCAAGTGGCTAAAGTCAAATCTGTTAAGAAATTTTAAAATTGACTGATGCGAGAGAAATGTGTGTTTTAGATTTACATAAGCATCAGTAAGATCAAACTTCTTACTCATAAAAAATTAAAATTAACATTCGTCAAATTAGTAATCGAGAAAAATTTGATCATTGAACAAAGGAGCAATGTTTCATATGTATGGCTAAATTTTCCTTTCGAATATAAACCACCTGATTTGCAAAATTGCAAGGAAAAATTCAGCAGAATGAGAAAATATTGCATCGTACACAGAAATTGTTTAGTGACCGATTCGTTGCAAAGGGATTTCGTCATTTTGGCCAGGCAGACAATTAAATTGAAGAACACATGAAACACAGATTTTTTTGTTTCCAAGTTTGATTCGGATATTAGATATTTCTATCTTGTCAATTTAATAATTTTGACAAATAGAAATATGCTGTTGTCCTTAATTTCTTACTTTGTTCAGAGATCCGTTTACATAGGTAAATAAAATGTGTAATTTCCTCCGACCATTTTCTTGATTAAAACATGATTACAATTGCAGTTATCTAAAATAAAAATACACTCACCATTAGTTTATATTTATACAGATATTTGTTAGCTTTGCCGCAGGAGTCCTTCACCTCTTTGCTGAAAACTAGGTACAGTTCAAATAGGAAGCAGTGCCTCTCGCGTCCTTTGCGTATAAGTTGCTTGGGATCCCAAACATGGAGTGAATTTTGAAGAACGACTTCTCCCAATTCATCTGAGCTAATATCACAACCTTCTAATAATGATAAATGGAGCGCATCATTCGCTTTTTTTGGTACATTTAACATTACTTCAAGACCATCCTAAAATGAAAAAAATTAATAAAATGAATTACATTCAAAAGCTACAACAAATTATTGATGTTCACATTCGTCTTGATCTAATTAACGCATGTATACTTCTTCAATTTAAAAACAATCAAAAATTGTACAGCCTTGAAATAGGACAGTGTAGGAGATGGGAAACGGATGCCATGGATCATTGCGCTGGAAAAATTTGTTGATGGCATTGGAGGTCTAAGGACGTACGTTTTTTTGATAAAGTAGCCTCTCACGTTTAAAATCTGCCAACTTTTTTGCATACTCAAGCAACTCTTTTATCCCATTGCAGTATTTTTCACAGATGATAGTAACAATAGGGAACACAAAGGTTCCTGAAGCCTCAATTCATGAAATAAAAAATTACCTTAAAATCCTGATGGGGTATTTTATACACACCTTTGAAAAATTACCATGACTCAGAGAATTTGTGATCAAATGAATTCATACTGGCTTCAGTAGAACTCAGAATATAAGCTGCAACTTTGCACTGATACCAAATTTTAAAATCTTTTATGAAATCAAAAATACAGATTTATTCTCAGTTGTTTTGGATCAACCTTATAAAATAGTGTGATGGTTAGTGATACTAGATAAAGAGCCACCGTTCTGAGGCATCTTACCTTAATTTCTCCTTGACCTTCCTCGCAACAAGATAACAAATCCTTTAACAACAACTGATACTTTGTTATCCTCTGCACTGGTTTGATAAGATATGCGGCTATGGGGTGCTCCACGCAATGTCTTTTCTGAAGTTCTTCAAAAAAGCCACCGCCATGTTGGACAAGTAGAGAATTTGATTCCGGTTTGTTCTTGCAATACTTTACATACATGTTGAATTTAGTTGCCTGAAATCAGGATGATATTTCAGTGTTAAATTTAAAAATATAAAACAATGGACAGTGATCAATCATTCGGACGACGTAAAATGATTGCTTACAGGCTGGTCAAGTTGATCGATATCAATAGGCTTTTACGGAGGCCAAATGAAAATATCAAAAATTATAGAAAACTGCATTACATACCAATTTCTTTGTATCAACAAAACTACAGAATAGAAGCATGCTCTCTTTTTTAAATTTGATTAGTGGCAGGGCTGGTCACTAAAGAACACCACCATTAGTGCTCCTATTCTTTTCTCTACCATAGAGTCATTAGCGAGTCTCTAAAAGCTGCAATAATCGTTTTTTTCCTTTTCTTCTACATATTTACCAAATTTTCGAAAAATGTGAAATGTTATGAGTTCAATAATTCTACTAAAATCAAACAAACTATCAGAAATATCAAAAGCGTGTCTTACTTCAGACACTCCGCAGAAATAAGCTGACTAATCTTATGATGATGATTTATAGAGAGAGCTTCAAAGGACAAAAACTATTAAAAACTTACCCAAGTGACGAAACAATGGCCAACATCTTCTGGCATAGTTTCATACTTTTCTAATTCCTTTAAGAACACCTCACGGTGGAAATTGCGAATATCTTGAATATTAGCAAATATTATGCTCTCACGTCCTTGAATAGCCGGAGGAACATTTGCTTCCGATAACATGCCGTCAAGAAAAACTTTGATGCAAATATCGAGATCTTTCACATAGGTACGTTCAGTCTGGAGGAGTTCAGCCATTATGAACCTATGGTTGACAAAACATATCTTAGTGGTTGCAGAGAAGAATTTGCTTAACTTGTTACTAGAAAAAGATTAGACATGAAAAACTGGAGGAGGAACAGTTAAGGAAAAATTATTTTTGGTTCATACAAATGTTTCTTAAAATATAAATTGAATCATTGACTAAATTTTAAGTTTCCTTTCCTTTCATCCCATGTATGTTAAATACTACTCATATTCAAAAAATGTTTGAGGTTTAAAATGCGGGAATAGTAGAATTGTAGTTTGCGAAAATCTGATTTAAATTTATGCACTAAAAATTAAAGAGCTAAAATAGATCATTCATGTTGTCAACATTGGAGAAAATCACTCACTCTTTCCTTCTTGCTGATCGTCGTTTTTCTTCATTCATTCCTTTCAATTCTTTAGCCGATTCTTTCACTTTCATATCGAGAGAGGGGTCTGAGTTGTGGTCAATGGATAATTCTTGGCGGCTTTCAGGAATGGCTTTTATACCCAGACATCCTTCCAGTTCAGATCTGGAGAAAATGAGAGAAAATTCAAAATACAAAATCAAACTTCAAGAAGAAAATCAAAGATTACACACTTTGCACAACAAATTGAGGACGGAGAAGATAAAAGGGTTCCTGATTGCTCTAGGGGCTTTTTTCCAGAATACAGTCAGAAAGTTGGTCTTGAATCATTGTCTACCAAAGTGTTCCTACTTTTTTGTTCTTGCTTCACTAGAAATACATGCAAAAAAGGGGGCAAACTTTGACCAACTTAGAAGACTATGACCAGGATCAAAATATGTTTTATCTCGAAGTTTGCACACCCTCTTAATTAATATTCGGACATAAGTAAGTCATTAGCTCGTCAAATGCATAAACTAATATAGAAAAGGACTTAGCCTGAAAGTGTAAACACTTTTTGGCCACCTCCGGCAAAACCTACAGTCTCCTCGGCTTTGCCGCGTAACTAAAAATGATGCTGCAAGAAAAAGTAGCTGCGTCATAACACAAGACTTTTTTACAATGGTTAAAAGGTTTAATCCACATTAATTGTAATGTGAGACAAACACTGAACTTACAACCCAACATCAGTTTGTAAAATTCTAAGAAAAGGTGGACTCTTACCTATACTTGTCCATTCGACAACTAAAATCTTTGTATCTACAATCGACAGCTGCAACCCATTGCTTGATGTCAGCAGCATGAGCATGACCTTTTTCAACAAGATTATCTGCTAGCTGCATGAGAAGCTTGACACGCTCACGTGTTTCTTTAGCGGTTGCTTTGAATTCGTTGTGTTCTGCCAAGAGTCGCTCTGTTTCTTCCTGCAAAAAAAGAAGGCGTAATGTGTCAGAAGTTTGAAATCACATCAACACAAACAGAAAATTATGATGATAAGACTTTATTTCGACACTGATATGAAAATATTAAGTAAAGCATTTTGATCAGATCTGTGCTTAAGATCTTAAATGAATATATGTAAATCATTACATTGGATATTTTATCTGTTTTGTTTCGTCGTTTCCTAGTTTCTTTTCAGCTGTTTCCTCTATGATCGCTGTCTTGAATTCGTATCTCATGAGGTTTTGGGTACACATATTTTTTGCTTGCCTGGCACTCTAAGCCTTCAAGAATATTGCATTTTTATCTCAAATGTAAGAGTTTCATTCATTGTTACGTCAGTCCCACTCCTTTGAGGAAACTTCATTTTGATGTGCAAACCTGCTGCTGCAGATTAACAACAGCGTTCTACTAACTACAACACGCAAATATTTTATTTTATTTTTCTCTACATCTAGCTATGTGTTCTTCAATCTAATTTGGCACTTCTGCTTGTGATTTTCAGCCGCTTGTCAAGGGCTAGTCCAGTCTACATTAACTTCTAGTGACACATGCCTCAGTTTTTATCCATTTTTAGCTATCGGTATTCAATTCTCATTGAATTCTACCAAAAAATGATTTGCCAGGAAGGAGTAGGGTTATTTGAAACACCTTTATTTTATATTTATTTGGATTGTGAATAGTAACTTACTCTTGTGGAGCCAACTGATGTATGGGCGCTAAGATAGCCGTCTCCGGTTTCATGAATCCAGTCAACTGCTTGTTGCGCTGAGTGCTCGAACAAAACAAACTGCTGACACTCATCCAATCGTCGTTTCCTACTGCTCCAATGCTCAAGAACTTTGTTCTCTTGGCTCAATAACTTATCTAAGATTCCTGAAAGTAATGCGGATGAATTAGCAACACAAAATTAGACTCTCCGTCATTTCGGCGTCAAAAGCCAAATTATAAACAAAAAATAAATTCCTACCTCTGAGCAGGGACTTTTTTTCTTAACACATATGAAATGAAATAAAAAACATTTAGACACTAAGCCTATCCCCGCGCACTCTTCGACTTTAGGGTAATATTTTCTGAGTAATCGGTTTTTGTTGGGAATCATTCTTAAAAATGGATAATTACTTTTCAAGAAATCAGATATGATTTACACTACATAGTCAAAAGCAGAGGACTCTCAAAAAATGATTTTAAAGCATATAATCGATCATGATTTTATTTTGTTATCCTCTCCCTTTAGGCTTGGGGCTCTACAGTGTTGAAACCTTAGAGCACTAACGGATGAAAAATGACTTACCCTTAACTCTACTTTCAGATCCACTATCCGGCCCTGAATAGTTATAATACTGCAAACTACGGTTAGTATACTTGAGGAACGTTTCAGCAGTACGCCTGGCTAAAGTACAGGCTTTTAGGAAAGCTTCTTTTTGTTCTTGATGCTTGGTAATTAGTTGAGCTAGTTTATCGCTCCCGCTGTTACACCAGTCTTCATCTCTTTTATATTCCCTTTCTAAACTATCCAACACAGAGCAAACCTGTAAAGATTGACCAAAAAACAAATTAGAACATAATAAATTTCTTATGACATAATTCTTGAGCATTTTTAAGAGTTACAATTATGGTATAATGGAGTAGAGGGCAAGATTTGAATCAAAGAGTTGAGTAAAATGCAATGTTACTTCATTTTAAATCCATCATTTGTAGGGCTGTTCTATCGGTTGTCGGTAAGCTACCGAAACAGTTCCGTTAAGAAAAAGTTACGATAAGAGCGCTCATGCTGATAGCGATCAGAGTTTTCGGAGCTGACGAAAATAAGCTGTTGCCATTTGTACATCTATTTTACGCGCTGCCGCGCCAGGCAATCTGATAAACCGACACACAGGGCAACAATGCAGAGCAATTGGATGCGAGCTCTCAAAAATCTGATAAGGCCGGCTGTTGTCGATATCATCACCACTGTCGGTACTGCGCCAGTTTCAATAAGAGACGATATCGAAAGTGTTCCGGCAAGAATTCGTTTGAACACCCCTAATCATTTGTACAGTTGAGGGTCTATGAGTTAGATCAGTTGCAAATAGAATAGGAAATTGAAAAAGGTTTAAGTTTGGATTATTATTTACATTAAATTTACAATTACTTTAGGGAAATAAAACACATTTACTTTCAGGTAAATCAGGAGGTTAGATCGACTTATCCAACTATAACGTGCAACATTTGGGTCATGGTTATCTTATAATTCTCACACATTAGCTTCATACTATAGTGCAAGAGAGTGATATTTAGTACTCTAATGCTGCGTTTTCAACCTGATGATTAATCATGGTCCCCAAAGTAAGTAAACTTTACTTTTTCAAGATAGTGAAATTGGTAAAATCAATTTCAACCGAATCCTTGCAACTCCTGTTTTCCCCCTTTTTCTCCTTAGAAAAACCTTACATTATCCATAAAACCGTGCGATGTGAATTGTGAAACATTGCATGCATGAAAATTGGATGGTATGAATATTAAGAGTCTAAAATAGTACCTGCTCCGCAGTTTTGTAAAAATTAAGACTAGCCATAACTAATTTATGTCTCTCTTCTGCAGATGTGACGAGCTGTTGCCACTGTTTTGTCACTGATTCAGCTGTCTCTCGGATAAAACCAGGATCGTAATGGTTGTTGTTGATCAGAGTTTCTGCTTGGTGTTTTACTTCCACTGCAAGAGTGTGCGTCCGCTGAAGATAAACAAAATGCATTAGACTCCCAATTTTTACTTACCGACATTTTACGTTTTAAACACAACAAAGAAAAGTATTTTTTTTTTATATTTAATTTCTTTACATATTTTTTATTTTTGCTGATTCCTGTTGATGACAAATTTTATCATTTCAGGTTTGAAACTATACAAACTTATGATAGTTTACATTGAGCACTTCAAAAAACAATTATCTCATCCAAAAAACCTTGCAGAGATAGGCAGGTCTTTAAAGGAGACTTCACATGAAACGCTTTAAGCAGCCTTCAGCCTTAAAATACAATGAGAACAATAGTTAGCTGAAAACGTGGAACTAATTAATGAAAATTATCACAAGTTGTTCTGACTCATAATTCTCTTGCCATCGAATCACCTTAAAATAAAATCAATAATGACGCATTGTGGTACTAGGATTACAAATTTCGTAAATTCTGAGTAATCTCTTCCACAAAATTACAAATGAACGCTAACTTGTAAATACCTTTTGCATATTCTTTTGTCTTTCATCATCCTGCTTAAGTTTTTTTGGTTTTCCCTTGGTACAGAGGCTAGACATTTCAGAACATTATAAACAGCTGAGCTATAAACCAAGGTGTCTACTAAAACAGGCCGGCCAAGAATCAGTACTTTTACAGTACTTTTTCAGTACATTCCAAAGAAATTCAGTACCTCCTCAACATAAAAATTCAGTACTTCTTCTGTCATTAAAATTGATGAAACGGTAAATTTTCATAAATTTGAATTTCTCACGCAAATTGCGACAAAAATGTCAAAAAAATGAAAAAATTCTGGACGTTCTTGCAGAATTTCCCGACCTCCCTGAAAAAATCAGTACTATTTCCGGACTTGTAGATACCCTGATAAACGTTTATAAACGTCTTTAATCGATACTTACTTCTATGACAACTTGGATGTGTTCATGTTCTTTTTTGAGAGTTTCTGCTTCCCGCAAACATGTCGGAATAATAAAACTAGCAGAGAGCATGGATTCACCATTATTAATCCAACTGACAACATGATGCGCATCTTGTTTGAAAGTGCAGAGCTGAACACACTGTTCCAATTGAACTCGCTTCATTTCTGCTAGGTCTTCCAAGTCCATTTCTTTTTCATGCAAAAACTCAAGAAGGACCTGAACTCGTGTCTGTGCGGAGTACTGACTATCTGCCATCAATGCTACACCCGATGTTTCAAATAACTGAAAAATCAAATTATTCAAAATTAGAGAAATCGAATGCTTGGTGGTACAAATCAACAAAATCCTTAAAGAGACCGTAACTGAGAAATTCAATGTGATTAGAGCTTCAATGAATAAAAATGTTATAGCACAGAAAAAACGGATTACTAATTTAACAATTCAATTGTTAAAAAAAGTGACTGCAATGTTTCAAAAGTACACTTTACAATAATGGAAAGCTAATTTACCCACAAAGGTGATTGAAGTAGCATTTTTCTGTTGTTACAGTAGCATTTTTTGTAGTAAAATCTACATTGTAACATTGCAGTCACTTTTTTTAATTAGAAAATTGTTAAATCAGCAATTCAATTTTTTCCTTGACGATATTAAGGTCCCATCACCACTACAACATATCATACGTGCACATGTTACTAAATTGATATTAACGCCGAAATTACAGTGCTGAGAAATCCACTGCTAAGAAGAAGAAGAAGGCAAAGCCACTTAGCTAAAAAGCACCTTAGTACACCTTCATATGCTGCTAAACAATGGAATAACAACTCAGACATTGCCTCATTACTGAAATCTTGTCATCTAAAACTCCCTTGAATAGCTAGGATTATTCGATTACTATTCATAGAGCCTTTCAAATTATCCGGAAACCAAGGATAGGTGGAAAATTGTCAAAAGTAGTGTAAAGTGCAGTTTTCCATTTCACTGTCAATTTGAAAAGTTGGATTGTTAAGATTTAGTTCTCCTGAGAGAAAACATTCTACAAGATCACAAACTGTCAAAATTGATGGACACAGATGAAGCTGATGGCAAGACGACTAATACGGAAGGTTTTATGAACAGCAATATCATTAAGGAAGCTATTGCCATTACATGATAATGGATTATTAAAACTAGAGATGAAAGAAATTATTTATTCATCAAAATAAAAAGTCAACAGTAATGACAGAGACTGCATTTGGAAAGAGTAGGGGCAAAAAGTTGAAAAGACTACATAATTTTCCAGGCGAGCTGCGTAAAAGGCTGGTTCTGTTTGAGACAAAACAGCTGATGCAGGATAAAAAGGGATCTGCATTATAAATGAGCTCATCTCGAGGAGTTAAAAAACGAGACTTGAGTGAATGGCCACGGCTTGGGACCTCTGGAGTATGAAGTGGCTTGTTTACACATACTGTCAGCCACTTGTGATGCCCTACATATCCCCTTTCTGCTCCTCCTTACAGCTCACCTCATAGTTTGGCTCTCATGCCGTGAATTCGCAGCTGGCTTAACATACATTTTATGATACTTCACAGCTCTGCCGAATTTGCATTTTGAAAAATAATCTTATTTAATACAAGGGAGGGGGGCGTAACAATAAATGAAAGATGAAAAAAATATTGCACAGCCACATAGCCTAGGTCTGAATTTTAATTCTGACCAAAGGAAAGGTTATAAGTCAAGCTTAACCTACAGGCTGCTTACTTTAAGAAGTTATTTCTACATTATGATAAAAAGTAATTTTGGAGGGTCTGAATAAAAAAATAAAAATGGTATGAAGCTTATTAGCTTCTCAATTAACTGTTTTATTTAAGCGTATACAAACCAACAATAAAACTAGAGCTTTATTCCTGCATTACCAGTCTTGCAAACTTTTGGCCACGTATTATTTTGATTGTCACTACCCAAAAATCCAGGTTTAGAAAATTTATTATGACCTTTTCTAGCTTGCCAAAAATATTGTCCTTAAAAGTTCATTCTGAACTATAGACTGGAATTCTTATGAGAGAATATAGGAGGAACAGATTTAGAAAAAAAAAAGCGACCAAGCTCTGGTTTCAACCAGGCATAGGTCATCTGCTTTTGGTTTTGAAGAACTTCATTTGCTGCTAAGTTAAAAATTAAGACTTCAAAGAGTTCAGCTTTGATGACTTAGCTTGGCTTAAAATACTTTAGTGCATATTTTTCAGCAAGATTTGGCACTGTTGACTAATCCTGAGACAAGATGAACAAACAAGCCCCTGTACAATGGACACATCATTACCTGAGCTAGTTCTTGACCTTGCTCCAAAACTTGAAAAACAGTGGCTTGAATATGAGAGACTCTATTGTTGTGTACTGCCAACAGATTCTCAGCCTGAACACGCTCCTCACTCAATTCTCGCTGCGAGAGTTCTCCTGACCACACTTCGAGCTGCGATGACAACTGTTTGAAACAAAATGACAAATTTGCAAATCAGACAAGCATCTCTTAATTACTATAACTCATTTGAGAAACGTGCGAAAAGGCAAAATGAGGTAAAATGTTGACATCCTTCAAAACATTAATGGTCCCTCATGGCTTAGCAATGACTTGAAAATGGTCCTGTCTGACAACTTTACCAGAAATTGAAAACCTTTGGCAAATATCTATTGCTTTGGAGAGGATTTTCTATGAACTTAAGATATAAGAGGATAACTAGAACTTTTTAGTTGGAAAGGAAAAATTAAATTTCTAGTTTTAAAAAATAAATCATGGCTGCAATCAGGGCTTCAGTTACAGTCTGACTACCTTAATACTCAGTTATCATACTAGATTTGCCTGCACAAAAGAATTCATTATAGAAAAACCAAATGAAGACCTCACAGATTGTAACGTAAGTCCATTGATTTGCTGCAAATCAGCAAATGTATGCAAAAGTAAGTGGTTAAGAAAAATAAACCAATCAGCTCATTGAATTTGAAATTAACTTCAAAATTATGGTCTCATGTATTTGTAATTACGAATCAAAATGACTCAACCTGTACAATTAGTTTACAAGCTACTGATGCAGCTTGTAATGATGTCTTGATATGTGAGATGAATCACTAAATACAAAAAGGGCACATGTCCAGAAAAACAAATTGTTTAGGAGACACTAAAACCTGTTTATTTTGTGGTAGATATTTTTTAAACATAACAACTTTCCAAAAAATATCTACCACAAAATAAACAGTTTTTCGTGTCTCCTGAACAATTTGGTTTTCTGGACATGTGCCCTTTTTGTATTTAGTGATTCAGATACAATTCACATCCTCACTTTCAGACTTTATTAAGTGGACAGAAAGGGAGGGAAAAAGATAAAAATAAATGGATTGCATTTTACAATAGGGAACTACCATTTCTGGCTCATTCTTAAAAAACACCTACGTGCAAAGGGAAACTAATGGTTCATATGTTGTGTTTCAGTTGAGCCAAAGATTACAGTTCCGAACTGCAAAATGAAGTCGGTGAGCATACCTCTAGAGCATCTCTTTCGAAGAGCCGCAGCCTGAGACAGAGATCTAGCCTAAGTTTGCGAGAAGCCCACAGTTCTTCGAGTTCTTCTCTAGTTTTACCGAGTCTATCTAAAGCAGATTCTACAGCAGCCACCGAGCCAGTTGAATCCATTTCCCTTGTCAAGCCGACAGCTCTGCAAGAAAATTAAAATATTTTTGAACAAACTAGAAAGGTAAAAAAAAGCTCACGGAAAGTCAGAGGAAGCAAAATTTAATGGATAATTTGCATGCAAATTTTTCATTACTTCACCTAAAAGTGCTTAAAGAGCTGATTTCACAGTATTTTTAAAATTTTTTTCTGAAATGGGAAATAGTATAAAAATAGATTTAAAAGTGAGAAAATGCACCGCCGAGTGACTTCATCTGGCGGCATTTCCCATTTAATTGCATGTATTTTAGCAGATTAGATAATTTTTTCATATCTTCTGCTGCAATAATTGTTAAATTCATGAACCAAGGGTATCCTCGTGTTCAGTTCACTCAGTGGTTTCCACTTAAACACGAAATTCATCAAATTTCAGACACCTGCAAATTCTCTATTAAAGGAGACCCCGCCAGAAATTATTAGATGGTATTTCTTTCCAGATATTCATAACAAGGCGGTACTATTTGCAGGATTGGAATATACTTTTTTGATTGTAAATTTTTTTGAGAAAACCAAAAAGTTTAATAAATCATTTCTACAAGGAGAAACAGCTAAACAAAATCCAACGATCGAGTTGACGTAGCAAGGCCTGAGGATGAGTCCAGCCAATGAACAAACGCTGTCTCCCCTGCCTGCTGGCTTTGACATCAGTGTCCACCAAAAATATCGTTTTAAACAGGTCCCATTTTTGGCATTTGCAGAACGGAGTTTCTCCGCCTTAAAGAAGTAAAGAAAAAACTAAACAAGTTTCTAGAAGCTTAGTTTACTTAATTCTCTCAGAGAATTAATTGAAATTTGGACTCATTGAGATACTGTAAAAACAGGAGTAAAAAAAACCTGTGGTAAAAATAAAGGAGTAAACAGATGAGAATATTTTTAGTCTACCTGATTGGAGATCGTGATTCTGGAGAAGCTAACATTTTTATACAGATTTATTGAAATGCTGTGATTCAATGTTTTAAAAACGTTTTTAAAAGATACAAATCTAAGATGACAAACCTGAGCTCTTGGAGAAGTGTTTCTCCTTGGCTTATGGTATTCACACACGCATCTAGACAGGAATCTTTTTGAGTAGAACACTGTTCTAGCGCCACCTCTGCTGCATCTAGAGTTTCAGCCGCCACCACATTCCTTCCTTCATGCTCACTTCTCAGTTCTTCTAGCCATGTTTCCAACTGTAAGAATAAAAGGCACCGAAATTAAATTCAACTAAGGGACAAACAGGTTCCACAAGCACAGTCCAGAAAAAAAGGTGGCAGCCGTTGAAAGGAGGAAACCAACTGCCGTTGAAAAAAAGTTCTTTCACTGGGAAAAAAAAGTCCCTCAGATCTAGAGTCCAGACTCTAAAAAAAATGTGACCAAAAACTCACTCTTGATTCGATCGGATTTTTGCTTGAATCAAAAGGAGACCCCTTAAAATATGAGGCTTGGCTCTCGATTAAAGCAAAAATCCGATTGAATCAAGAGTATTTTTTCTTGACAAATTTTTTAAGCGTTGGGCTCAGGATCCAAAATACTTTTTTCCAGTGTGATTTTCGAATAATAAAACTTTATTCGTCGAGAAAATCACAAAATGTTTATAAAGTATTCATTGAGATTTCCTTTTTTTTTTGCTCGCCTTGCTGCATTGAAATGCAACAATTGATAGGTAAGTCAAGTCCGCAAGTCAATAGTATAACTGGTTGCAGCCGTCGATTTTGAAGGAGTTTTAAGCACGGCACGCATCGACCATTTACCGCGTGCTCTTCCAGGAAAAGATTGCCGTGTAAGCCTTCAGACGCAGCAAACCGAAACTTCATGAAATTTCACGAAATTTTTCATCTCTGATCTCTCAACAGTGAGCAATTTTTCATCTCTGTCTCTGGAAGCGAGTTTACTTTAAAACTTGACTTTTCCAGTCCACCGACATGAAGGAGGATTTTACGTCGGAGCAGATGTATAACAAGACCAACTTATTTAGGGTCGAAAAGTAAACGAGCCGGTTGCTAAAACGATTACTTTCCCGCATTTTTAACATAGCTCAGATGCTCAAAAAAAGAGAAAAATAAAAAGTCACTTCGAGAATTCTCTTCCAAAAATTGAGATTGTGTACACCCAAAAATGGTAATAAACAACTCGGTGTCCAGCCGTTGCCTCGGAGGAATGTGCAAACTTAGCGAAAAGAATGAATGCTCTACATTCGCGAGTCTGGAGATTCTGCCTCGCGCCAGCCGATTTTTAAAAATCAGGATGTTGCTGAGTTAGATTGAGAATATCGACGATTTTTGTCGACATATGCACTGAAACGTGGTTGAAATTGAGCAATCTGGAGCATGCAAATTTTGGATTTGTTCGCCAAAAGCCTTGGGTCATTTTGTGAGGAAGATAGAAAAAACCGGGAAATAAGAGATAAATCGAGCACTCTTTCAAACATCACTTTAATTCACTTTTAGCTTTGATAACAAAAATTTCGACGAAAAAGTGTATTAAGAGATGAGCCTGGAACTGTAGTTCCCACGCTGAATTTTTCCAATTGGGCGCGATAAATCGACCAATTATAAACATTTTATCGACAAAAAGCTTCGGCAGAACTAATTCAGCTTGCCCCTTCATCATGACGAATTTCAAGTTCGTAGGATCAATATTAGTCACGCGATAGGCAAAAATAGATTTGAGGATTTTTCGCAATAACTCGGCTAAAAATGAAAAATTCTAAAAAAAAAGGTATCGAACCGCGATACAGCACATAAAGGGTCATAATATCTCCGTAAAACTTCCATACTCTCGCTCTAACGGTAACTTCAGGACAGCACGGAACAGATCTCCACAATTTTAGAGCTTAGCCGATTTTATAATATAGTAAGATAACGATAGGTAAAATTCATTCGTTTTCATGTTAATTAATTTGTGCATAAATTACAAGAAAATGCAAATATTCGCGCTTTCACGTCGAACACACTCCCGCCACCGGCTCTGCGCTCGTTAAAATCGGGGGTATGTAATTTACTGTTACCTGCAGAGCTGGCGCCACCTGGGGAGAAAAGCTCTGCACTAAAATCGCTTAGGGTTCATAAAATCGAGCGTTCGCTTATTCCCAGCCACCCCCCCCCACTCCCTTCATCCGAGGGGGGAGGAGGCTCCAGACGAAAGTATTCGCAGTTAGTCCGCATAAATTAGCATGTTAAAAGATGCTCTTTTCGTCATAATGAACGCGATAATTTTCGACCTTTTCATCGTCACTCATTCGAAATTCTTCCTTTCCCCAGGGATAACGCGTTGATAACTCCTGGAGCGTAGGGTTGCGCTTAGCCACCCCCCCCCCTTCTCCCATCTTTTTCGCGTCTCGCTTGATTTAGGACTTGAAGTGCTTTCGCAGGAAAGCGACCGGCTCCTGGCAATTTGCGACGCGCGAAATCCCTTATGGCTGAGCATAGATGCCAGATAGTGCTGAGAAATCAGCATTTACCCCCATTTATACACGTGTAAAATTTTATGGAGATAACACGGTCTCACTGGAAAAAAAACACATTGGGTCTAGAGTCCAGACTCTTAAAAACATCGACAAGAAAAAATACTCTTGATTCAATCGGATTTTGGCTTAAATCAAGAACCAAGCCTCTTAATTTGAGTGGATTTCCTTCTTCATTCAAGCAAAAATCTGATTGAATCAAGATTATTTTTTCTCGTCAATGTTTTCAAGAGTCAGGACTCTAGATCCAGTGATTTTTTTTTCCAGTGTAGGCATAGCGTTAGTTGATGTTTTTTATTTAATTACTTACATACAATGTGGAAGCTTTTAAGCTGGATTATCTCAATAAAATAATAGTTGGTAATGCTACTTTTACAACCGTGTTCAACGTGTAAAATATTTAAATTTAATTGCACAATCCGGCAACGTTGTGGCTGAGGGATGGCGCGGGTTAGCAGTGGGAGGGATCGCGAACATTTGAGTGTTCGAAATAGACTGCGAACTCGGAAGTTTCACTTTTCCAACAAATAAAATACCTACTAGAGAACTCTATCACAGTTCCCATATTACTTTGACCTACTTCACGAAAAAGCAGCTCCAGATCGAAATTCCGGTGAGAAGAACTGTCAGCATCGAGTTGCACACTGCACGGAGGAATTCCCGACAAAGTCACAATTTTTCGTGTATTTTTTTAGATCTCTTTCAGAATTGCACTCCCAGACTTAAAATCGTAGGTTTTAGTCTTAGTCGCTCCGTATGTAGCATCTTTCGTTAGGAAGCCCCATCAGGTTTACACTGTGATCAAGGGAGGACAAATTTTCGCTAACATTTTCGTCATTTTCCCTGACATTTCCCGAATTTCCCCGACTTTTTAAAATTCCCTGACATTTTCCCAGTTCTCCCGTTATTCTCTAATTGTAGCAACCCTGTTTAAAACACTTCAGATAAACGCACATAAAAATTCCCTGATTTTGCCTGGTCGCCGCAAATTCTCTAACTTTCCCGGTTTTCCAGACCACCGGCTACTCTGAAATTTGCACAGGAAAACTGAGGTACATGCGTTGTTTCTAAACTGAGTCAGAAATGGAGATGTTGCATGTGTGAGGAATTCGCAATTTGACCATTGATAATTATGTAAAAGTTCGCAAGAAACACGATGGTGCCACTGGTTTTCTCTGAAATCAACTCCCAAGCTCAAAAAAAGCTCTCAGGTTGAAGCCAAAATGGAGGGAATATCCCACGCTATCCTGGGAGTCCACCTCTACAACAAGACAAAATTTCCATGCAAAGACAGGGAGCAAATACATTAGCAGTGATGCCGTGTTTTCAGTTTTAGAGTCCCCAAATAAAGTGGCAGCCCTGTAGCTCCCTTTGCATGGAGAGTTTGTTTTGATGTAGACGTGGACTCTCAGGATAGCATGGGATATCCCCTCCATTTTGGCCTCAACTTGAGAGCTTTTTTTTGAACTTGGGAGTTGATTTCAGTGAAAACCAGTGGCGCCATCATGTTTCTCGCGAACTTTTACATAAGAATCAAGAGTCAAATCGCAAATTCCTCACACATGCAACATCTCCATTTGCACAAGAAAACTGACGGTACATGCGTTGTTTCTAAACTGAGTCAGAAATTATGGTTTCTGATTGTAAAATGTAGTCCAGATTATCCGCGGTGCCTCGGGTCCCGATAACCGCGGAAAATGGACACTATTGCGAACTTTTTTCCTGAGAGCCCAAAAATCCCTCATCGACGACTACCTCTACGGAGGGGGAGAGAGAGAGAGAGAGAGAGAAGACTTTTACTCACTTCTTTCTCCCTGGAGTAGAAGAGAACAGCGAGATCGATGCGTCTCCTGCGGCTCTGGACGCGGGCGGCGAAGGAGGTGACGTGGGCCTCGAGCTCGTGCGCCACCGAATAGATCTCGTCCGCCTTGCACTCCCCCGTTCGGGCCAGCTCCTCGGCCGCTGTTAGCAGCTTCTCCGCGTTCGTGTAGGTATTCTGGAACAAATAAAAACAAAATGCATCACTCAAAATCTATAATAAGTAGTACTTCTCAGAAAAAAAGAAAAAAAGAAAAGAAGCAAGAAAAAATACATCCATTCGCGGATAAATCCATAATTTCGATGACCGAAATGCAAACGTATCTCTGATGAACCTGTCAAAATCGCACTCCGCAACCAGAGTGTCTAACAATTTTCGAAAAATTCTCTGACATTTCCTTGAATTCTCTGACAAAACGGCCAAAAAAAGGGGGAAAATTTAAAATTCCTTCACAGGCGGGAAAAATGATTCCCTGACAAAAAGAAAAAAATACTCCACTTTTTTCGACCCGGTTGAACTGATTAGATGTAAGTAAGATTTTGTTCATGTTTGAGAGATATAATGTAATAAATAGAGCCGAATATGTGGTGCCTAAACTTGTACGAGATACGTATACCTCATCTTCAAAATTAAAAAGACAACTGTATCTATATATATTCTGATAGAAATTTTGGTATCGATTCCATTGTTCTGAAACTTGATGCATCATCAATTTGTTTTTTTGAAAAATACGTATTTTTCAATTTCCCTGACGTTTCCCTGACACGAAAATCACTTGCAAAATAAAATTCCCTGACGTGCCGAATTTTTGCGGATTCCTTGAAGTTTTCCGTAACTTTCCAGACACAGCAAAAAATTCCCTGACATTTCCTTGGTTTTCCAGATCGCTAAACACCCTGGATTGCCCCAAAGATCTGGAGTGATATGAATGCTGCGGGCTCTTTGTCTGTGAATTTCAATGATCAACCCGCTGGTCGGGAAATACTATACTTTTCAAGGAATTGTCAATACTTTTCCAAAAAATTCTGTACCTCGCTGTTCATAAGGAATTGTTGAGTCCCCGAAAGTAAAAGTTTCCACCTGTCGCCAAGAGGCCCGAAGAGAGTCTCTGTCCATAAAAATGCGTTAATTTGTGCCTGGAGCTTTGGTAGCCCTATATTACGATTCTTCATTTAACAACTTGAAGGAATATACCTATGAGGTTATTCGGTTAGCACGGTTGCCTGATACTTCAAACGACCTTCAAGTATGGAAAATTGATCAAAATTCACTATAAATTAAAAATTAAAAAAGAAAAATATGAGAAAAAAATGTATGTTTGTCCTCGCCGAGGCCACTGACAGGACTGACAGGAGTGAATCTTGTCACAAGTTCGTCAAAGTGGCTATTGTTGGGGATTTCACGGACTTGGGTGTCGACCGTCGGCGGAGAATGCTGCCGTGCTAAGGAAAAACGCCGTATAAACCTTCAGACGTTGCCAAATTTCCTTTGATAAAACACGAATTTCCTGGTCAACTTATGAATATTTTTCTTCCAATTTTTCGGATAATTTTGTTCGCAATGTCTCCTATACCTCCTGAAACTTTCAAAGCAAAATTTTGATAACTTTCCTTTAGAATGGAAATTTTACGGAAGGAAATTTGGCAACTCTCGAATGTTCATACGGCGTTTTTACTTAGCACGGCAGAATGGACCCTGCGAGGACACAACCGCGGCGAATCGGACGAGCCGAGCTACACGTGAAAATTATGCGAGTGCGAGGAGGCAATCAAGAGGGTTTTGTTGTGTCCTAGACATTGGTCTCCATCAAGATCGCCTCGTTGCTCGACACTCGGGTCGGGTGAATACACTCATCCGCTCACCTCGATGAATGGAGCTTCGACCAGACCAGAGACTATTTGAATGGGTTGTTTCTAAAACTACAGTTCACTGGGGAAAAATATCACATTGGATTTAGAGTACAGACTCTTGAAAACATTGACAAGAAAAAATACTCTTGATTCAATCGGATTTTTGCTTGAATCAAAACGAAATCCGGTTAAATTAAGAGGCTTGGTTCTTGATTTAAGCTAGATTCTGATTGAATTAAGAGTACTTTTCCTTGTCGATGTTTTAAGAGTCTGGACTCTACATCCAATGTGTTTTTTTTTTCCAGTATTCGTAAATACTGCCGTGCTTGCGAAGAACGCCGTACGAAGATTTGAGAGTGGCCAAAATTCCCCGAATGAAAAACGCATTTCTAAGGAAAGTTATGCATATTAATCCATGAAATTTTTTTAGATATTTATTAAATTGCGGACAAAATTGTCTAAAAAAAAACTTTCACAATTTTCCAGTAAAACCGTTTTTTGTCGAGGGAAATATGGCAGTTTCTGAAAGCTCATATGGCGTTCTTCCTGAGCACGGCAGTATAGGGAGAGTATATAGAAGTTACGTTTGAATAATTGAATAGTTGGGATAATATAGAAGACCATGTTCTCCTTGTTTTCGTGGAAATGCAATTTTACCTACTTGGAAGTCGAAAAAGTTGTATCGCGCGTTTCACAAAATCCATTTTTTCTACTCCCGCGTTGAAGTCTCTGAATCAGCCGAAAAGAGATTCTCCTTCATTTTGTGGATACGCAATTTTGCCTACTTGGAAGTCGAAATAGTTGTATCACGCGTTTCGCCCGATCTGTTTTTTCTACTCCTGCATTTAAGTCTCCGAGTCCGCCAAAAAGGGATTCTCCTTCAGTTTGTGGATAAGCAATTTTACCTACTTGGAAGTCGAAATAGTTGTATCACGCGTTCGGCCCAATCCGTTTTTCCTACTCCTTGTGTTAAAATCTCTGAGCCAGCGGTTAAAAGACCAAGCTTTTTTTCGTTGTTAGAGGAGATTGGAATTTTAGTAAGAAATCAGTCATTACCGTTAAATGTAAAGCAAAGATTCAGTAATGAAGACGGACATGAAAAATTGTATTTAATGAAGCAAAATATTTCCGACAAAAGTGCAACTTTATTAAAGACACGTGATAGCTTAAAAAACACACATAGTTAAGTGCCATTGCCAAACACCGTAATCAGTGTTGGCTAGCCACAATTGACTCTGGTCAAATGGTCAGGAGAGTGCACGGAGAAAAATTCTCTGTTGAATTGACTGAAATTCCAATTAATTATTATATTCCCGAACGAGATTTATCGTTGTGTCAACAATAAATTCCCTTGTTTCAAACGGTATTCCTGTCATTCCAAAATTTTTCTCAATGCGTCAACAATGATAACAACATCCAGATAATGGCCACAATGGCTGTATTTCGGTTATTGGCAATAACATTCACAAAAACCGATTAATTAAATCTTAGCCTAGAGTCACAATGACAAAAAGAATGAAATACGGTGAGTAGTGCAACAGTGTGTCTTTTAACATTTAATTATGGATTTTCCTCATATTTTTTCTGATATTTTAGACGAGATTTCTTGATTTTCGGCGCGAATACATTGACAAAATCAACATATCTGATCCTTTTGATCATTAATTGCGTCGAATGTTTGAAAAATGCTCGAAACACTCGGAATTTCCTGATCCACACTTTTCTACTTACGAATGCTTGTAAAATAAATTCCTTTTATTTACCTATTTAGATATATTTAAGTGCAGCACTTAAATACTATTAAACATGCACTGGGAAAAAAACACATTGGATCTAGAGTCCAGACTCTTAAAAACATCGACAAGAAAAAATACTCTTGATTCAATCGGATTTTTGCTTAAATCAAAAGGAAATCCGCTAAAATTAAGAGTCTTGGTTCTTGATTTAAGCAAAAATCCGATTGAATCAAGAATGTTTTTTTTTTGTTTTTTTTCCAAGAGTGTTCTTCTACCTCCCTACTTATGATATTTTCCTGATTTTTCCTGATAACATCGAATTTTCTGATATCCTCCGGTTTTTACTGATAGTAGCCACCCTTCGCAAACTTAGACGTCAACTTGACCGCTCAACGTAAGTGAAAAGCGACTTCCAACAAGAAAACGATAAAACTCGTGAGGTATCCGGCACCGAGACAAATAAAAGCAATCCGCAAATCCCGCATAGAGAAAGGTCTCCAGGGATCCTCTAATTTCGTCAAATCCGACTGGACAACATCTTGGGCCCACTTCAATTCTCGTCTCCATCCAGCAAGCAAACCCACCTCAATACTCCGCCTCGAAAGACGATTGAACTCATCGAGACCGAACATATGCCTCGGAACCAAATACATCAACGGATACGTAACCACAGCCTCCCTCACAGCGTGATAGTCGAACACGTGGCCGATATCGAACAACTGCCAATCCCGTCTCGTCGACTGCGTCTGGGTCATCAAGATAAAAGCATCCTCCGTCATGATCGCTTCGAGACTCTTCTCCAAGGACGCTTTTCCGACCTCGAATGCCGCACAGGATACGCACACGGACACATTATCGGTTTCCGAGACGGTGACAATGCTAGGATAGAGGCCTTCTTCGCCGGCTACTAGATTGTTGAGATGGTAGCTTCCAACGAGACGATCCGAAAGCCAGTCGAACTCCTCTTCGCGACTGAAAAGCTCCCGATCCGATTCGGGATCCGCCGACTGGACCACGAGATTCGACTCGGACAGCTCCTGTAGCGTGTCGATGTCCGCGTAGCGTATCCTCTCGCTCAAGAACTCCATCATCCCACTCTGGAGCAGCGTGCTCAAAATCAACGCGGCAAACACGAAAACCCCGAACAGCATCTTCCCAGACAGCAACTTTCCCAGGAGTAACCGTGGTTGAGCCACGCACAAGAAGTACCGGTAGATAGTCAAGGCGGTCGAGAGACTCTCGTATTGGACGAGCTCGTACTCGGAATACAAATGCGAGAAATGTCGCGATTGCGCCCACTTGTGGACGTATTGCAAAAGGAGGAACGTCGCCGTGGTGACCAGGAAGCACACCCAAACCTCCACGCTGAAGCACTTGAAGACCGTCAAGTACTGGGGCTTGAACCCCCTCCGCGGCACGAGGAAACCGAGAGATCCAAAATCCACGACGATTGTATGGTCGTAATTTTCGAAGCTCGCGCGTCTCAAGCGGGGTGTGGAATCGATGAGTAGTAAAAACAAATCATGTTTCACGACGAATTTGTACTGGTTCGACGAGAGCTCATGGGTGTCGGTAACCTCGAACATTTCTA